AAAGATCAGTTTTCGATCCGGCCTATTGGTGACAATGGGGAATTATGAAACTCCCCTTTCCATCATTTTTAGTGCAAGGTAAATGACATTCGAGGGCCGTATCTGGCCCTCAGGCCTTAGTTTGAGGACCCCTGGCCTAGGGGAATGTGGCACAGTAGAGTTTCACTTATCCAATCTTTGCTCATCCAATGTTCTGTATTATTCAACGCAGTCTGTCTCCCACCCAGATCCACAGCTGTTTCAATACATTGCGATGTTTTGACGCTAAATTCATAAATGCAGTAATTACTACATAACATTACCATGTATTGAACTGCTTTTTTGTTGATTTGTTGTAAAACGTGATGTTTTGGTGCTTAATTTGTAACATCATCCTTTGATGTTTAATAAGGTTTTCCTTAATTCCTCCTTATTTTCACTTATCCAACGTTCTGTCAGCCCATTTATGTTAGACTAGCTGTCCCCTGCCACGCGTTGCTGTGGCCCAGTCTGTTGATCTGCAAAATAAAGTAATGGTTTCTAATCTAATTTCTTTATGCTTGTGGATAAACAGTATTTCTTGTTGTCTCTTTGTCAGAGTTAATGTGGAGATTGTTTGGTTTGCCTATTCTGGAATATGCAATATATCATTGTCCTTCTTTAGGGGTCCCTTTCAAATCTATGATATTATATCTGTGTGTGTGTAAATCATATCTATCTTATCTATATCTATGGCTGGATGGCTCTTTGTCAGGAGATTTTCTTGCCCTGGTGAAGAGAGTTGGACTGGATAGGCTTAAGTATTTTCTATTGGTGATGAGGTTCAGTGTGGGAAATTTGCCCCAATTCTGTCGTTTGTGGGGTTCAGAATGCTCTTTGATTGTAGGTGAACTATAAATCCCAGTAACTACAACTCCCAGATGTCAAGGTCTATTTTACCAAACTCTATCTGTGTTGATATTTGGGCATATGGAATATTTGTGCCAAGTTTGGTCCAGATCCATCATTGTTTGAATCCACAGTGCTCTCTGGATTTAGGTGAACTACAACTCCCAAACTTAAGGTCAATGCCCACCAAACCCTTCTAGTCTTTTCTGTTGGTCATGGGAGTCCTGTGTGTCACCTTTGGTTCAATTCCATCAGTGGTGGAGTTCAGAATGCTCTTTGATTGTAGGTGAACTATAAATCCCAAGAACTACAATTCCCAAATGACAAAATAAAAAAAAATTGAGTGAAGGACATACATTGGGTTGTTAGGTGTATGCTGTCCAAATTTGGTGCCAAATTTGGTTTTTGAGTTCTGTTAATCGCACAAACGAACATTACATTTTTATTTATATAGATAAGCGAGACTCTACTGTATTAGCAAAATAAATGCTAAGACTACGAGACGAGAGGCAAAAAGAACCCCTTAACTTAGGTTTGGCCATCATTATTTCCAGGATCTCTACTAACATTATAGTAACAGAATCATCTAAATATTTCCTGCACTTTGGAACCAGAAGTCTTATATTAATGTTCTAAAAACATCAGAGCCAAGATCAGTGAATACAAACAATCATCAGTGATTCTGTTTTAAAAGAAAAATTACACTGAGAAATAGCCTCTTTTCCTTCACTTTTACAATGTTGGTACTTGTATCCTTTCACTATGCATCAATTGATAGCTTTGCTTATTCCTATGGAAACAGACAGAATAATGCCAAGGTTGCAGTGGGCATTTGGGAAAGAAATGTTGTGACAACAGTCAGCATTTGGAAAGGAAATGTGGTGGAACTGCTAAAGATGCGTCCTTTCTTTCAATGAAACCAGTTGATCACAGGAATGGCTTTCAAGTCATAGCGATGTTCTTGGCTGGTGTGCTCCCTCAGATACCTTGCCAGATTGATGAGCACTTTAGGCTTGGAAACTGGCAAATAAAGATGCTATTCAGCTGAGATCTCTTTTGTGGGTTTGAGAGTTTTGTCTTTGGAGTCTTGGATGGTGAATGTGATGGTGCCAAAAGGGTACTTTTGTTAAGATTTAGACACACTGTTAAGATTAGTGTTGCTGCTTTCATCATTGACTTGAAAAGGATTCATGTGAAGAAGAAATTTATATTCAATATAATTAAATTTAGATAACTAGTGGAATAGCACTAGTTACCTAAATTTAATTATATTCTCTCTTACGTTTGGCCCAAAATAGTTACTTAGTTTAGAAAAGTCTTCCTTCTGTCATTCTTACAAGTAACATGTTTCTATGTATCTACAAGGGATCAGCTTTGTCTGGCAATGAACCATAGTGTCAAAAAAAGTTCACAATATGAAAAAAATGTTTGTCTCCCTCCTGTTATCTTACTCACTTTTTGTCTGGAAATAAGGGTAGATTTCAATATGAACCCACTATGAATCTCTTTGACAATATGGATAGCTTATTGTATACCGTATATACTCGAGTATAAGCCGACCCGAATATAAGCCGAGATACCTAATTTTACCACAAAAAACTGAGAAAATTGATTGACTCAAATATAAGCCGAGGGTGGGAAATGCAGCAGCTACTGGTAAATTTCAAAATAAAAATAGATACCAATAAAATTATATTAATTTAGGCATCAGTAGATTAAATGTTTTTGAATATTTACATAAAATCGTAATTCAAGATAAAGACTGTCCAATCCTGATTAAACCATTATTTGAACCTTCTTCAATGTAAATATGCTTACATGTCCTCCAATAATAATAAATAGAGTAAAATAATAATAATAATAATAATAATAATAATAATAATAGAGTAAAATAATGGAATGGAATGACAGTAATAATAGAGTAAAATAATAAATGTAATAATAACAATAGAGTAAATAATAAATGTAACAATAACAATAATTGAGTAAATAATAAATGTAATAATAACAACAATAATAAAATTATTATTATTATTATAACAGCAGCAAAATAAAATAATAAATAACATTGACTCGAGTATAAGCCGGGGGAGACTTTTTCAGCCTAAAAAAGGACTGAAAGACTAGGCTTATACTCGAGTATATACAGTAACTCTTTTCAAAAATGGAGAAAGAACAGACTGTGGGAGCTGTCAAGGGTTCTAATCTCCACCAGAAAAATCCTCTCAAGAGTCCTCACAAATCGCCTTCTACCTATTTTAGAAGACATCCTCCTTGAATCTCAGAATAGCTTCTGCTTCTCCAGAGGAACAGTAGATATGATCTTCACCACACAACAGCTCCAAGAACAAGTCAGGGAACAAAGTCAGCCATTCTACATGGCAGTCATTGACTTTGCAAAGGCCTTTGACCCTGTGAATCATAATGCTCTCTGGACCATCCTCTTGAAAATCAGATGCCCTAACAAATTTGTGATGATTCTGCAACTCCTCCTCCATAAAAATAATAACAATAGTTTTATTTCTTGCCCGTCTCTCCTCAAGACTCAAGACGGGATGCAGCATTACTAAAACTTAAAGAAACACGTAATCATTTTAAAACACTCTGTAAAATACATATAGTAAAACATATTCCCATGAAATACATATTAAAATGCACAAATCAAAAATTAGGCATATAATGGAAGTTTAAAAATAATCATTAAAATTGTCTGGGTTGGCCTGCCAGAAGAGATAGGTCTTCACTTGTATCTTAAATTCCAACAGCTGATTGAGCTGTCAGAGCTCTACCGGCAGGTTATTCCACAGTCGTGAAGCGGCAGATGAAAAGGTCCTCTGGGTGATGGTTGCCAGTCATGTTCTGGCTGGTTGGAGTAGCCGCCTCCCAGAGGACCTCAGCGTGCGGTGTGGATTATACAGAAGGTGATCCAGTAGGTAACCTGAAGACCAGATCTCTCAAGCTTCACTTTCTCAAGTGAAAGTGAAGTATCTTGCTAAATTGTCCAAAATCTTGCTCAGTTCTTTCTCCACTTTCTCCACTTCTGGTTCCTGTTTTTTATGTTCTGCAATCTCAATCCATACCTGTTTTTGCCAGTTGGTATTTTGAGGAGGCAGAAATAGAGGGCAAAATGGAGAAACGTGCCGAGAGGAAAGTACATCAAGCAAATCCTTGTCATGACCACCTTCCACCTGAAAACCTATGTCTTCATTGTAACAGACCATGTGGACTCAGATTAGGTCTCTGCAAGTCACTTACTGACCCACATACAAGAATCTACTCTTGGAAGACAATCATACTTTTATTTTATTTTATTTTTTAAAGTTTTGGTTAGTATGGCGTAGGATTAGAGCCACTGTGAGATTTTTACAACTTTTTTTATCCTCATTACAAATAATTATTTTCACTTCCTGTCCCTGAGACTACCAGAAATGTGAGAAAATCTACCCCTATGAAGGGAATTTCACTCCTGTAAGAGCTATTATTGGGGGGAAAGTGTCTCCACTGAAGCTTTTTCACCAATTCCTGTTTCCATAACAACCCAAAAGTTTTAAATCAGACTTTCACAGGGACAGAGAATGATGTGAAATCATTTAAGCAAGGGCACAGAGAGCAAAATAAACCTTACAGGGGTGTTAACCCTTCCCTGTGGTAATCATAGCTAAAAAATGTGTACCTGTTTCGACTTACATACAGATTCAATTTAAAAACAAACATATAGAACCTATGTTGTTTGTAACTCCATCGTGTCTCATCCAGCAACTATTGAGAGCTCCTCCCACGACTTTCGACTGCCCACCTATTCAGTGGCCATTCCACTGGCCATTGAATGGGAGGGACGTAGCCACATCCAGCAAAACATAGCTACATAGAATGATCCAAAGAAGTCCTCAATGGCAGAACAGCCAGATAATGTGGTGCATGTTACAATAATTGTGAAGGCAGGTGAAGGCTGCAAAAGACAAGAGGCCACCAATTGTCGTGGTATCCATGGCACTGGATTATAACCTCTTTCTGTGAAGATTGTGTGTTGGTTGCAGTGTACTTAAGCTGCCATTGCTTTCAAAAATGACTGTTATCACTAGTTAATAATCATTAATCAGTTGAAATTAACCTCCCTTCATTAAATTACCTAGGGAAACTATCGCTTTATGAAACTTTTACTGGCTCGTAGAGCAAACTGGATGAAGAAAGATTTGGAAGGAATTACCCCTTTACATTTAACTACCCGCCACAAGAGTCCAAAATGCTTAGCTTTGTTGCTAAAATATATGGCACCAGGAGAAGTAGACACACAGGACAAGAACAAGGTAAACAAGACTGCATTGTTTTCATTATCCTTGCATCTCTATTTTTTTCTTAGTAGTCTCTGTACAGGGTCAGCTGAACAGAACAAACCCTGGAACTTTCTATGCCAGTCAACTGACACACATTTCAAAAAAGAATTTGTTCCTTGATAAATTGATCTTTCCAGATACTCCACATGATCTGCTTTGAACTGGATTATATGAGTCTACACTTCCATATAATCAAGTTCAAAGCAGATAGCCTGGATTTTATATAGCAGTGTAGAAGAGGCCTGAGTCTTGTGTAGAATAAGTGAAAGACATCGTAGATATGTGTATACGAGGGGTATTTTTTAAGTAAGGTCCATTGGAACATAAGTACACAACGAAAGTTTATTTCAAAAAAGTAAATTTATTTTCAGAAAGTACATACTTACTCTATTTTTCGACATAGTTGCCAAGTTTGTTCAAACACTTATCATACCTCTGAACTAATTTTAAAATACCCTTTTCATAAAAACTTGCCGCCTGCTCCGATAACCAAGAGTTCACTGCCGTCTGTAATCAAAGAAGGGCGACCGGAGCGGTCCTCATCATTGACATTGTCACGGCCATCTTTGAATTGTCGTACCCACTTATGCACTTTGCTTTCACTCATAACAGTCTCACCATACACTTCACAAATCTGTTGATGAATTTCTGCAGCAGGCAGGTTCCTTGCTAACAAAAACCGTACCACTGAGTGAACCTCACATGCGGCGGGTGAGTTGATAGTCTTAAACATTTTTAAAGCACAGAACAGAACCGTACAGGTTAGCTACAGAGCGGAAATTGAGCACAGTTGTTCCCGAGGCATGCCGGTACACGACGCACGTGCTCATTGCAGTATGCGCACGAACTACTAGTGTCTACAACAAAACGGACCTTACTTAAAAAATACCCCTCGTATTATCAGTGGAAACTATTCCAAATTTTGTTTTCTATTTCGGATATATTCTAACCTGATGTAACGTAAAAGACTGTTGATTTAAACTGTATTTTGATTCACCTTCCCTTTTTGGTTGTAATATGTAATCTAGAATAAATACAATGGGTAGTAAGTAGTACCTGCCTTGTGTCCTACTTTTTCAGGTTTCTGTTTTATCTTTTACCAATTACATTTCCTCATTCATGGAAGGTAATGTGCAGATCAGACAATATTTTCCATTCTCCCTGCCCTGTACTTTCCCATTATTTTTCCCTTATCAGAGAAAACATCACACTTGTGTGTGTGATGGCACAAATGACCAATAAAAAAACGCAGGCAAGCTGTTCTATTCCTATTCTAATCGTAATGCTTTAAAAATATGTTTTTCAACATTTTGTGGTTTTTTTCCCTGTTATTCCCAGCAAACTGCTCTTCATTGGAGTGCTTATTACAATAATCCAGAGCATGTGAAACTTCTAATTAAACATGATTCTAATATTGGAATCCCAGATGTTGAAGGGAAAATTCCACTTCATTGGGCAGCTAACCACAAGGATTCCAGCGCAGTTCATACTGTCAAATGTATTTTGGTAAGGTTTTCTGTTCCAATCAATATTCTACATATAGAGTATAGAAAATATTAATTCCAGTGAATTCTACACAAATAAGACTGATATAGAGCAGAACTTGTTAAACTTTTCCACTCATGACTTTCTTTTTGCTGAGGCTAGGACCTATCCACAGTCATTCAATGGGTTTCTATGAGTGACTGGGAATTCAGATTGTCTCTCAGTGTCTTAGTCCAACACTCAAACCACTACACCGTGCTAGCTTTCCCAGTGACTAATAAGACTGTTAAAATTCTGTGGTTTTACTGTAAGGGGATTATAATTTAAAATATTGTTAACAGGTGCAGTTGTATTAAAAATTTTAATTATAAAACATGTATTTTTCTGATTATGCTACTAAATCTGGACTCATTGCCAATGCATTATAGGTAGTTTTTACCATCATTTATTGCTTACTGTGTGTTATCTAACTGATACTTTTTTATCAATTAGGATGCTGCTCCAACCGAATCTCTGCTAAACTGGCAAGATTATGAAGGGCGAACTCCCCTTCACTTTGCAGTTGCTGATGGGAATGTGGCTGTTGTTGATCTGTTGACCTCCTATCAAGGCTGTAACGTTACCTCTTATGACAATTTATTTCGAACGCCTCTTCACTGGGCAGCTTTGCTAGGTAAAGACTGAATGACATGATTTCTAAATTCTTTTGGGCCTAGGAATTTTTCTACTTGTTTTGTGAATACTATTTTTATCATTGGCAACAGCTCCCTCAGGAAAGACCAGAAGAAGCTTGGATGGGGTGAAGGGATTGCTAGGAAAAGAGGCTATGGGCAATGGTATTCCCCGTAGTAATCTATGGATGTGAGAGCTGGACCATAAGGAAGGCTAAGCAAAGGAAGATAGATGCTTTTGAACTGTGGTGCTGGAGGAAAATTCTGAGAGTGCCTTGGAGTGCAAGAAGATCAAACCAGTCCATACTCCAGAAAATAAAGCCCAACTGCTCACTGGAGGGAAGGATATTAGAGGCAAAGATGAAGTACTTTGGCTACATAATGAGAAGTTGAAATGTTTACGACATTTCCCTGCAAAATGTGCTGGGTTTTGTTTTGGTGATGGACCTTTCCTGGTCCATCCAGAAGCTCTTCTGAAGTTACATTAAGGGAAGTTCCTAGTCCTTGTCCTGCAGTGGAGCAGGACAAGGACTACGAACCTGAACTCTGCATCTGTGTATTCAAACAGCCACAACTTGAAAATATTTTTTAATTCACTTGATTTTGCTGTGCGCTAAACACTATGCTCATATGTAGGCATACCCTGCCATAGTTTTCCATAATTTCATAGATAGGCTTTCGACAACACTCATTTGTTCAGCATTTTATATGAGGGATGACATTTTATATAATTAGGCTTGAATATTCATGAATTTCAGCAGCAGTCTGAAACCACACCCAGTAGAAACTAGGGGCCAGTATTTTTAGATTTACAAAATATATTCAGGGACATGAATTTTTTAAAATTTCCAAATGTATGTAAGAGTTTTGCTAACATCTCATGGGGGAAGTAATCTTAACTACATGTATCAAAGTAGACAATATTGTGTTGATAACCTACTATATGTCATTACTTTCTTTTTAGGTCATGCGCTGATAGTTGACCTTCTTTTAGAAAGAAATAAGATTGGGACCATCCCATCTGACAGTCAAGGGGCAACACCTTTACACTATGCAGCCCAGAGCAATTTTGCTGTAAGTGAAATGAGCATGTTATTTTAAAATTCCACTTTGAAGAAGATAGAGCTCTTTGTTCTTGGTGTTTCAGGTAATATGCCTGTCTGTTTACCCTAGTACTGATGACAGTACTTTCTCATATTAAACAGCCATCAGTTGTAGACAGATGATAGTTTATTAAGTAAACTTTATGGGTTTTCTTAAAACATGATCTATACATGTCTTTTTGTCCTATTGTCATTTTTCTTCAAATAGTTGTTGCAGGATTTTTGAAAAATACCTTTTCACCCCCAAAAAGTGAGTAAATCCTGCAACATAAGTAACTAATCCCCTTCAAGACCTTTTCAACTTTTCTGAGTTTTTAAATGGTTGTCATTCTCTACCTATTTAATGTGTTTTAACTCTTAACAGCCCAGTGAAGTGGAAAGCTCAGCCCGTGACTGTGATAACTCAACAAAAAAAAGGGGCAGGATCCCAAACATCAGTCCAAGAAAAACAAAAGAGTGTTGCATTAACAAAAGAAATACATAACAAATACCAGTAATCAATAAATGTGATATTTATAGCAAATGTAAAAACAGAAAAATGAATATAAATATGATATCTATCTATATAAATAAAAATGTAATGTTCGTTTGTGAGGTTAACAGAACTCAAAAACCACTGGACGAATTGACACCAAATTTGGACACGAGACACCAAACAACTAAATGTATGTCCTTCACACACACAAAAAATGATTTTGTCATTTGGGAGTTATAGTTGCTGGGATTTATAGTTCACCTACAATCAAAGAGCATTCTGAACCCCACCAACAATGGAATTGAACCAAACTTGGCACACAGTTCTCCCATGACCAACAGAAAATACTGGAAAGGTTTGGTGGGCAGTGTCCTTTTGTTTTGGAGTTGTAGTTCACCTACATCCAGAGAGCACTGTGGACTCAAACAATGTTGGATCTGGACCAAACTTGGCACGAATACTCAATATGCCCAAATGTGAACACTGGTGGAGTTTGGGGAAAATAGAATCTTGACATTTGGGAGATGTAGTTGCTGGGATTTGTAGTTCACCTACAAACACTGAGCATTCTGAACCCCACCAACAATAAAATTGGGCCAAACCTCCCACACAGAACCCCCATGACCACCAGAGTCGGCTACAGCAATGTGTGGCAGGGGACGGCTCATAGCAAATATATTTTAAATACTCTGTAGTTTATAGTTGCTACTAGCATATCTCCTCATTATTGCCTGAGTATGCATTTTCTAATGCTTTTATTACAAATATTAATGGTTCGATTTATGATTCTGTGAAAGGTTCCATCACAAAACATTTAATTGTTTTAATATCATACATTGTTTAATTGTTTTTAAATTTTATATTCATATTTTAATGCATATAAGGAGAAAGGGGTGTTAAAAATAAAGTAAATACATATAAAACTACTGTCTTGATATTTATATATCAAAGTAGGAACAGGGTAACCTTTCAGATTTTTTCAGCTTCCAGCATTAGTATAGTAGGGATCTCAGCATTGCAGTGAACATTTTGCATCTGGCTTTGTGGATATAGCCATTTATCTGAGCCTATCTGTTCTCTGTAAAGCACAAAATGATCATGTAGAATGGCACTAAAATGCTATGTACCTGCACTAATTGCATTATACTCTTATGCAAGTGAAGTAATGACTGAGACATTGTCTTTGGGTGTAAAGAATGTATTTTTGACAATGTAATGCAATTTGTAGGAAATACACATTGATGCCTCTGTTTCAGTTCCTCAAAAGTAAACATACAGCCATTTTTGGTTGTCACGCTTGACTATATTTTGGTATGGCCATGGAGGTGATAGCTTCGGAGGCCAGTAATAGTCAGTTCATTTCCTCAAAAGTAAACATACAGCCATTTTTGGTTGTCACACTTGACTATATTTTGGTATGGCCATGGAGGTGATAGCTTCAGAGGCCAGTTATAGTCTGTTAGCTTTCAGTGGACCAGCACTGACTTTTCTAACTAGCAACAGATCTTATTTTGATGTTCAGGTTACAGATTTACCGTATATTCCGGGGTACTAGACGATTTTTAGGTATCTAAAACCTTATAAAATTTTGGGGGTCATCTAGTACCCCGGGTATAAAATTAAAATAACAAAAAAATTACTGTACTTGGCTGCCTTGGCCTCGGGTTCCCCTCCCTCCGCTCATGGCGGCCTCGCTCCTTAGGCCACTCTCCTTTCTTGGCGGCCGGGCCCCTGGGCTGCTTCCCGTGCGGTCTAAGCAGTGCTCCTTCCTAGCCAGGCCTCGTAGTCTCATGGGAGAAGACACGATTCTCGCGAGGTCTCGCTAGGAAGGACCGCTGCTTAGGCCGCTCTCCCTCCTAGCGAGGCCTTGCGAGAATCACGTCTTTTCCCATGAGACAACATGGTCTTGCGGTAGAAGACGCGATTCTCGCGAGGCCTCACTAGGAAGGAGAGCGGCCTAAGCAGCGGTCCTTCCTAGCGAGGCCTCGCGAGAATCGCGTCTTCTCCCGTGAGACCACGTTGTCTCGCGGGAGAAGACGTGATTCTCGCAAGGCCTCGCTAGGAAGGAGAGCGGCCTAAGCAGAAGGGTTTCCCGAGAGCGGCCTAAGCAGAAGGGCTTCCCGCTAAGCAGAAGGGCTTCCCGAGAGCGGCCTAAGCAGAAGGCCTGATTTGGGGACTCGTCTTAAACGGCGAGTATGTCCCCAAGTCTCTATTTTGCCTTCTAAAATTGGGGGGTCATCTTATAGCCCCAGTAGTTTTATACCCCGGAATATATGGTATCTTAACTACAAAACTTCAGTGTGCAAGCCAATTCTTTAGCCACTTACCAAGTAAAGAATCATGTGACTATATCCAGACTTGAAAAACAAGAAAGAGTCCATGTAGTTGCAACCATATTTGCCAACTTAGAGAACTTTACTATATGCATGTTTGATGATTATACTATTTTAAAAAGTGAAGTTATGGGTGTATTAAAAATATTTAAGGGCTTCTAGGTGATAGGAACTTTTTAAAAGTATTTTTAAATGACTGAAATCCACCTCTCACTTATTCTTGGTTTGACTTGAAATACTAACTGGCTTTTTTCCATGCTTGAGACTAATAGTCTTAAACTGTGTCCATACAGGATGGAGACCTTGCTGTATTAATGGTGGCATTGCCAGAGTTTTATGAGGCTTGACTACATTTCCATACAAAAAAGAATTATGCTTTTTTCAGCAAAGCCAAAATTATTTAGAACTAGCTTGGGGACCCAGCGTTGCCCGGGTTATTAGAGAAAGTGGGTAATGGCGGTTCTGTATGCCAAGTTTGGTCTTTATTGGTCTTTGGATAACGGCTGCATTATTTTCAGGAAGTGAGTGAAGGTACTTGAAGTCCCATCATCCATGGGCCATCCTCTTACAAACAGCAGCAGGATATAGAGTGGGTCATGGGGGCTCTGTGTGCCAAGTTTGGTCTTTATCAGTCATTAGATGAGGGTGGCAGTGGTGTCAGTAAGTGAGTGAAGGTAGTGCAAGTCCCATCATCCAAAGTCCATCCCCTTTCAAATTGCAGCAGGATGTAGAGTGGATCATGGGGGCTATGTGTGCCAAGTGTGGTCTTGATTGGTCATTAGAAGAGGGTTGCAGCAATCTTCGGAAGGGAGTGGAGGTACTTGAAGTCGCATCATCCATGGTCTGTCCTCCTCCAAACTGCAGCAGGATGTAGAGTGGGTCATTGGAGCTCCATGTGCCAAGTGTAGTCTTGATTAGTCATTGGCGAGGGTCTCAGTGGTCTCAGGAAGTGAGCAAAGGTACTGCAAGTCCCATCATCCATCTCCAAAGTTTTCCAAACAACACCAGGATGTAAAGTGGGTAATGAGAGGTCTATGTGCGAAGTTTAGTCTTGATCCGTCATTGGATGAGGTTTGCAGAGGTCTCAGAATGTGAGTGAAGGTACTGGAAGTTTCATCATCCATGGCCCACCCTTCTCCAAAACTGCAGCAGGATGTAGAGTGGGTCATGGGGGCTCTGTGTGCCAACTTTGGTCTTGATGGGTCATTAGATGAGTTTTGCAGCAGTCTTGGGTAGTGAAGGTACTTGAAGTCCCATCATCCATGGTCTGTCGTCCTCCAAACTGCTCCAGGATGTAGAGTGGGTCATTGAAGCTCCATGTGCCAAGTTTAGTCTTGATGAGTCATTGGCGAGGGTCTCAGTGGTCTCAGGAAGTGAGTGAAGTGACTGCAAGCCCCATCATCCATTGTTAAATTCTTCCAAACCGCACCAGGATGTAGAGTGGGTCATGCTGGGTCTCTGTGTAAATTGCGGTCCTGATCCATCATCGTTGGTAGTTGTAATGGTCTTAGGAAGGGAGTGCAGGTATTGCAAGTCCCATCGTCCATGGTGCATCCTCCTTCAAACTGCACCTGGATGTAGAGTGCGTCATGGAGACTCAGTGTGCCAAGTTTGGTATTTATTGGTAATTGGATGAGGGTTGCAGTGGTCTGAAGAATTGATCAATGGTACTGCAAGTCCCATAATCCACGGTCCATCTCCGGCCAAACCACAGCAGGACGTAAAGTGGTTCATGAGAGGTCTATGTGCGAAGTTTGGTCCTGATCAGTCATTGGATAAGGTTAACAGCGGTCTCAGAATGTGAGTGGTGGTACTGCAAGTCCCATCATCCATGGTTCATACTCCTCCACACTGCAGTAGCATGTAGAGTGGGTGATGGGGGCTCTGTCTGCCTATTTCGGTCTGTATTGGTAGTGTTCTGACCCAGCCCCCGGCCTTTCCTTTCCTCTCTTTGTCATCTCGGAATGTTGGATTTGAGGCTGGCCAATCAGAGACCATATGCAAATTTCCTTCTGTCATGCCCCGTTTCTGCCATGAACCCTCTTCTCCACCAGGGGCTCCTATTGAAGCTGGCCAATCAGAGACCATATGCAAATAGCACCACAGCGGCAGCCAATCAGAACGCTGCCACATACACCGCCCTCCACAATTCCTCTGTCCGATACAACCACTCTTCTTTATTATATACTAGCTTGGGGACCCGGCGTTGCCCGGGTTATTAGAGAAAGTGGGTAATGGCGGTTCTGTATGGCAAGTTTGGTCTTTATTGGTCTTTGGATAACGGCTGCATTATTTTCAGGAAGTGAGTGAAGGTACTTGAAGTCCCATCATCCATAGCCCATCCTCCTACAAACAGCAGCAGGATATAGAGTGGGTCATGGGGGCTCTGTGTGCCAAGTTTGGTATGTATCAGTCATTAGATGAGGGTGGCAGTGGTGTCAGTAAGTGAGTGAAGGTACTGCAAGTCCCATCATCCAAAGTCCATCCTCTTTCAAAGAGCAGCAGAATGTAGAGTGGATCATGGGGGCTTTATGTGCCAAGTTTGGTCTTGATTGGTCATTAGAAGAGGATTGCAGCAATCTTTGGAAGGGAATGGAGGTACTTGAAATCCCATCATCCATGGTCTGTCCTCCTCCAAACTGCACCAGGATGTAGAGTGGGTCATTGGAGCTCCATGTGCCAAGTTTAGTCTTGATTAGTCATTGGCGAGGGTCTCAGTGGTCTCAGGAAGTGAGTGAAGTGACTGCAAGTCCCATCATCCATTGTCAAATTCTTCCAAACCGCACCAGGATGTAGAGTGGGTCATGCTGGGTCTCTGTGTAAATTGTGGTCCTGATCCATCATTGTTGGCAGTTGTAATGGTCTTAGGAAGGGAGTGCAGGTATTGCAAGTCCCATCGTCCATGGTGCATCCTCCTCCAAACCGCACCAGGATGTAGAGTGCGTCATGGAGACTCAGTGTGCCAAGTTTGGTCTTTTTCGGTAATTGGATGAGGGTTGCAGTGGTCTCAGGAATTGAGCAAAGGTACTGCAAGTCCCATAATCCATGGTCTATCCCCAGCCAAACACACACCAGGATGTAAAGTGGGTCATGAGAGGTCTATGTGCCAAGTTTGGTCCTGATCAGACATTGGATGAGTTTAACAGCGGTCTCAGAATGTGAGTGATGGTACTGCAAGTCCCATCATCCAAAGTCGATCCTCCTTCAAACTGCAGCAGGATGCAGAGGGGGTCATGGGGGCTCTGTGTGCCAAGTTTGATCTTGATCAGACATTAGATGAGGGTTGCAGCCGTCTTGGGAAGAGAGTGGAGGTACTTCAAGTCCCATCATCCATGGTCTGTCCTCCTCAAAAGTGCACCAGGATGTAGAGTGCGTCATGGAGACTCAGTGTGCCAAGTTTGGTCTTTATCGGTAATTGATGAGGGTTGCAGTGGTCTCAAGAATTGAGCAAAGGTACTGCAAGTCCCATAATCCATGGTCCATCCCCGGCCAAACCACACCAGGACGTAAAGTGGGTCATGAGAGGTCTATGTGCGAAGTTTGGTCCTGATCAGTCATTGGATAAGGTTAACAGCGGTCTCAGAATGTGAGTGGTGGTACTGCAAGTCCCATCATCCATGGTTCATACTCCTCCAAACTGCAGTAGGATGTCGAGTAGGTTATGGGGGCTCTGTGTGCCTATTTCGGGCTGTATTGGGAGTGTTCTGACCCAGCCCCCGGCCTTTCCTTTCCTCTCTTTCTCATCTCGGAATGTTGGATTTGAGGCTGGCCAATCAGAGACCATATGCAAATTTCCTTCTGTCATGCCCCGTTTCTGCCATGAACCCTCTTCTCCACCAGGGGCTCCTATTGAAGCTGGCCAATCAGAGACCATATGCAAATAGCACCACAGCGGCAGCCAATCAGAACGCTGCCACATACACCGCCCTCCACAATTCCTCTGTCCGATACAAACACTCTTCTTTATTATATATATAGATATAGATGATGTAGCAGTAGTGTGTTCTGAGATACATAAAGCCATATTTTCGATACCATTCTTATCTAGTAAATATTTGTGCTCTAGGAAACAGTTGAAGCATTTTTTAAGCATCCTTCTGTGAAAGATGACTCAGACCTTGAGGGAAGAACATCTTTCATGTGGGCTTCTGGGAAAGGCAGTGACGATGTCATCCAAAGAATGCTGGATTTGAAATTGGACATTGATATTAACATGACAGACAAATATGGTGGCACAGGTAAGGTAATGTATAAAACAAGATGGTTCTTACAACTTTTCTAGGGACTTTGATCTTATAAACACACAGTATGCTTGGGTTCACTCTGAGGTTGCAGTGTGGATGCACAAATGTTCCTTAATGAGCAAAACAGGATGAACAAATACATTGAGATTAATTTAGAAAGAATGAGAACAGTTTCTGCTTCTCCCAGCACTTAGTGAATGGGGGGAAAGATTTATTAAAAAATATCACATTGGGTGCTTGCAAGCTTTGGTACCGTAGTTTGGTAGTTTGGTAGCCAAGGTAATTTTTCAGTTCCTAGCATAAAAAATCTACTTTATGAATAAATGGAAATAAATTATCGTAACGTCAATGCTAATTGGTTCACAGAGAAAGACATTAGATATTCAACTTGTACACGGTCTTAATAATTTTAATAGAATAGGTGTAATTTATTCATGATTCATATTTTGAAGGAAAGGCTACATGTGATCCTGCTCTATTCACATAAAAATGTCTGTATATATGTGTTTGTGTGATATTCTCATAGCAAAAACAAAAACTGTGGGAAGAGCCTACCTATCCACAGCTTATTTTTCTTTAGCTACATTCACAGTGAAGAGTGAAGAGTAGAGACATCACACTGGCAACGAAGATCCGCATAGTTAAAGCAATGGTATTCCCCATAGTCACCTACGGATGTGAGAGCTGGACCATAGGGAAGGCTGAGCAAAGGAAGATAGATGCTTTTGAACTGTGGTGTTGGAGGAAAATTCTGAGAGTGCCTTGGACCACCAGAAGATCCAACCAGACCAGACTACAGGAAATAAAGCCCGACTGCTCATTGGAGGGAAGGATAGTAGAGGCCAAGATGAAGTACTTTGGCTACATCATGAGAAGAACGGAAAGCTTAGAGAAGACAGTGATGCTGGGAAAAATGGAAGGAAAAAGGAAGAGGAGGCGACCAAGGGCAAGATGGATGGATGGCATCCTTGAAGTGACTGGATTGACCTTGAAAGAGCTGGGGGTGGTGACGGCCGACAGGGAGCTCTGGCGTGGGCTGGTCCATGAGGTTACGAAGAGTCGGAAACGACTGAACGAATGAACAAACATTCACAGTAAGGTCTCCTTGGTCAAGCAGCTCTTACGCTGGAACACACCTCAGCTTTTTAAAAGTGTCTCCGTTATGAGCAGCCGTAGATGACAAGCAGGGAGACTAATCCATTGTATCCTTGCTTGAAACACTTTTTCTAGGGACAAGCATCTTGTGCCACTCCAGATGTTGTTGGACTGCATTTCCCATGAGTCATGGGTTGCATATCCAGTGATACAGAATTATGGGACTTGAAGATCAACAACATCTGAAGTGCTCTAGTTCCCACCCCTGTTCTGTGATGTTCTATTCTTAATGGACGGAATGGTTTGTCGTCATCCCTAATTCGGTCATTCTCACTTTGGAAAAATGTGAGTTAAATGATATACTCTACAATTACACATTTTTCCTGAATAATCTGGGATACAGTTGCTATGACAATTGTTGGGTTAGACTTGGATCTGCCATCGCATTAGCATAGTTTCTTGCATTTGCTGATAGGGCGCATTCTCCATTCAACTCAAGTTTTAATAAAACCACAAGGCATGTGTATTGTGTAGCAAAATGATACCAAGGAAAAAGAATTTTGCTCTGCTTAGAGATCACTGTTGTAGGAACAGTACAGAGGCAGCTTTACAGCTTTGCCGTCACTGACTGTGTACAATGGAGAGGCATCTAAGTGTTGACGGAACAAGGCTCCATTGTAACCAGCTGGCTGAAGAATCTCTTCAGTCATTGTGACTCTCTTCAAGGAAATTTGGCTTACAAGAAAATACTGAACAGAGACTTGGAAACAAAATGCCTGCGTCAGAATGAATGATGAAGGGGGAAAGAACCCGACCATGCCGACACAGGAGCCCTTTTATTTAAGTGCATTGTTACATACACTACACATCTTGTCTGGTTGAGTAGTTTACTGCCTTCTGTGTCAAGAATGTAATATGGAAAAATAGGATCTAGAATATACTGTAGGGTCAACCCATGAAGCCAAATTCTATCAATTGGATGGTGGCATTCTTGTTAAGAGTTCATTTCTATACAACACCTGAACCCATACACTTGTTTTTGCCACTTTCACTTCACTTCACTTCACTTCACTTCACTTTAATCAAGCTGAGTTATCAATTCATTGTATATCTTTTAGGTTGGCATTAGCAGCTCATGATCTGCATGCCTTGTTTATGTTGCGTCTCAGGTTAAGCTTCACCTTGCTCTCTGACAAACCAGCCAAACTTGAGAAGAAAGAAGT